GGTCTCTTTCAACTCTATGATTCTATGATTCTATGATTCTATGATCAATGTGAACCTGTGCCAATGTATTCAGCTAATCTTGTAGGAACTACTTTGGGCAGAAATGCTTAACATATTGTATTTTAATTTTGTTTAACTTGGTTTTAACTCTATTGTAGTTTAATATAGTTTTAAGGGGTGGGAGGGCTAGGGTGTGGGATGGAGGAATGTTTTTAACTGTTGTCTTTTTAACCTTGTTGTACGCCGCCCCGATTGCCATGCAGAGGGACAGGTTACAAATAAAAATTTATTATTATTATTATTATTATTATTATGTTAACGACACTGAACTACATTTGGTGTGGTCTGTTGTATTCACTACTGTGGCAGCCCAGTTATGAAACATCCTACCCTTGCAGGCCCAATTGGCACCAACATTGCTATTATTTGGGCATCAAGTGAAAATGCTGCTGTTTATGCCTAACTGATTTTATGAAACCTCACATGTACATGATTTTAATGTGTTTTAAACTGTTCTAATTCTTTGAATCTGTCCTTTTAACTGGTTAAATTGTTTCATATATATTTTAATATTTATACATTTTAAATCTATTGGTCTTTTTTTATTGTATGCTACCTTGAGATCTCTGGACAGAGAGTGGAATATAAATATTTAAACAAATCAATAAATACATGGCCACTTGGCTTTTCCATCTCCCTGGTATTCTCTGTGTTTTCATGTACTTGGAGCACTGAAAATATTCTTTCTGTTCCTTCTGGTTTCAGCAATGGGTTTAGACACAATGGATGGCAGACTGACCTGACTGACTAATAGATTTACATAGGGAGGTTTGATGTCCAGTGCTCTGGTTGCAATAAAGCTTTATTGTCCCACAGATAATGGTGCTCTAAAGGATTGTCCTTCTGTGGTATATGTCAAGGCCAAAGTAGATTGGCTAGGCATCCAATCTTAGGTACTTCGGTTAGGTCTCCCATTCACCCCACCTGATGAATTTCCTGATTTTTAGCTTAATGAATAGTTATTCATTTCCTTTGCTCAGGTTCTTTGATACTGACCCTTTGGAACTGATGTGGCATTCACTGGAGGACTACCTTTGTAAGTGGCTCACAGAAAATTGGTAATTGAGATGAGAGCTGTTGGGAATGGAATACTGAACATCTAATTCCAACCACATCTAGAAGAGAATACAATGTTCAAGGCCAGTATGTGCCCCTAAACAAGGATGTGAAAAACTCTGTTAATTTTATGGAATTTCTCTGAACCTTACCTTCATTTGCATCCCACCCTTTGTTCACACTGAGCTGAAAGGCTCTTTTTATCTTCCCATACAGAATTTCCTCCCACATTCATTTCCCATAATGTAACAATTTATGTATGTATTTCCCCTAAGGTTTGTCTTATGGTACACATTTTTCCCATTGGTAAAATAGCATTTTGCAGTTGTGTCCATTTTTAGACATTCAAATGTACAAACTGCATGCCTGATTTCATGCATAGGAAATACACCATATGCGTCACAAATGTTCAGATTTCTGAGGCAAGGTATGCTTTGTTTCACAAAGGGTATGAAGAGGTGTGAAACAGATAATGTCAATGAGAATGTTCATCTTCTTTTTAAAGCAATGTTTATTAGGTTTTAAAAAGATAATAATAAAGAAAGGGAAACAGAACAAAGAAGCCATAGCTTCAATATCCCATATCTCTTCAGACTTAAAACTACTTTTGGTTGAGCTATATTGGACACATGACACCCTTTAACTGCCCTGACTCAGTGCTAGGGAATCATGGGGACTGTAGTTTATTGTGGCATCAGAGCTCTCTGACAGAGAAGGCTCAATGTCTCAGAAAAAAATATAATTCCCATGATTCCCTAGCACTGAGCCAAGACAGTTAAAGACTCAGTTTGCACTATTTCTGGCAGTCTGAAAAGGCTCTACATCACAATTACAGTGATGTTGTTGTTGTGTGCCTTCAAGTCATTTCTGACTTATGGTGACTCTAAGATGAACCATGGAGTTTTCTTGGCAAGTTTCTTCAGAGGGTTGCCATTGCAGCTGAGAGTGTGTGAGTTGCCCAAGGTCACCCAGTGGATTCCCATGGCTGATCTGGAATTTGAATCCTGGGCTCCAGAGTCATTGTACAAAACACTCAAACCAGTACATGATGTTGGTTACTGTGATAGCTGACCCCATAATCTAGTTCAATGCTGGCAGAGAGGAAGGAATGGA